TCAACACTACATACAAATACACACATTTTGGTTTTAAACACCAATAAAATATAAACACACTCCTACATTCAAAAACTAACACTACACATAAATGCATGCTTGCATTCAAACGCTACATACAAACACACCCCTACATTCTCACAAACATACTCCCTACAAAAACATGCTTACATTCAAACACACAAATACAGCTCAGTGCTATATACAACCCTGCAAGCATGGGAAAATGGTAGAGCCCCTGCTGTCAAAGCATTGTTGGAGTTGCACGACAGATAGGGTTCTACCTTCTGGCCACCCTCGCGATTAGGGGGCCCAAAACAATTCTTGCACAAGGGCTATGTCTACTTTAGTCTGTCACTGCGTTGGGGTGGAGGGCTTGATTGCATGCCAGGGCGTGAGGGGGAATGGTGGGGGCAGGGTCCAGGGGGCCCAAGCAAATGATTGCCCAGGGTCCAATCAATAATAATAATGGCCCTGTCAATAATCCAACTCCTAATCCTATCTCAGAGGGATTCCCACTGCTGACATCAGTACTGACATCAGCGGATGAATTTCCTAGCTCACAGAGTAAAGAGTGCTCTATAAGATATCTGAACTGTGTGGTTGCAGCATGAGTGGAAGATCTCCCTTTCATGATGCACCTACTGTGATTGGTGCAGGCAGCTTGCAAAGCCCAGCGCCAATCACTAGCACCAATTAGAGGGGTATGCAAGTAGATCAGACCAGCGTGTTTTTAGACCTTTAAGTCTCCCTCATTGCTGGGTCAGGCTCAGCATCAGCTCAGTGGTTATTTACTGGACTATATAGTGCACTCACTTTGCGCAATACACATAGCTCATCTGTCAGGCTGGAAGTCTGGAACCACTAATTAAGGCCTCTGATAACAGAGGTGACCTTTAAAAGATACTTGGGGCACACTCTTTTAAGCTGGGAACACAGGCTCAGAATTAACGCAGCTGAGCAATCACTCATCCACCTAATTTTAACGATTTAAAGGGCTACATGCATCATTTAAAGTAAGCACTACACATAGCTCATCTGACAGTTTGGGGCCACTAACTGTGGCGACCCTCAGATATCCAGTGATAGCTGGGGCTCATTGGCACCAGCAAGTTTTAACCCTGCAGTTATTTTTTCACTTTTAATGCATGGTGATCTATAATGTCAACGAGTAATCAATAAATTAAATAAATAGTGGATTAGCGCTAAAATGTAATGATGGCGCAGCTGTATCACCCGAATCAATCACTAAAGAATCACAAAATCATAAAGTCTCAAAAATTACAGCAAAGTAAAAGTATATACAGATTATAAGGATGGATATTAACCTCCTTGATTATTTCAATAAGCAACTTTGAATCTAGGACCAAAAGGAAAAAAAGAGAAAACGTCTCATAGTGTATTATGTTTTTTCACTTTCTTCGTTTCACATATAATAGTCGAACGCACTCATTAAAGAGCCAGCAATATCGGCTCTATTTAAAAGCAGATCCCACCATCAGTATGTAGGAGTGGTAAGTTTTCCTACCAATATATGTCTTCTGGATTTTCCAACTACGCAGTTACAGTCATGGGATGGGACACAAACACAGGAGATTAAAAGCAAATGTAAATGTTAAAAATAAAGTAAAATCTTACATGTATGCTTAAAAACATAAGCACAAGCGTAACACATTTTGACCTTTTGAGTTTTCATCAAGGTGCATTAGAATAAATATAGTACATTTTCCTTTTTATACCTTCTCCCAAATCCATTTGCATAAGCTATGACTTCCAGTTGTATCTGTCTGCCAATCTGTGATGTCTGTAGTAAACAGCTATTCAGTTGGACAAGATGTCCACGCTCTGCAGATTAGCACGTCATCGCGGCCCCGGTTACTCCGCATCTCAGCCCGCCGCGGGATATCTGTCTGCAATCGTCTTGAGAAATCCGGTTGTACACTTCGTGCACCCATCATGTGTGTTCACAGCATGCAGTGCGCACTGATAACAGATGTAATTTATGTACAGAATTAACATTAGGCAGTCCAGAACAAAGTTCTGAGCTGCCAATGTCATGTCTGCTGGTGGTGGTGCAACTACCCTGGCACACGAATAACAATATCTCTGTATCTCTGTAGAAACACTGGATGTACTGATTTCTACCATGACCACTTAGAATCACTGAAGTGGTCATGGTGTTTGGAGTAACCGTTTAAAGCCTTGCACTGCCTGATAGATAACAGGTAGGCAACCTTCGGCACCCCAGAGATTGTGGACTACATCTCCCACACCTTACAGCCATAATGCTGGCAAAGCATCAGGGGTGATGTAGTCCACAATATCTAGGGTGCTGTAGGTTGCCTACCCCTGGCATAGACTGTCATGTGGTCAATACGGGGTTAAGGAGAAGAATCTGTAATGACTACCACAGGTTTATTTACGAAAGTGAGAAATTAAAGTGAATTTTAAATTTAAGGTCATAGCCGCCGAAATGAACGCATATTAAAGTATATCAATTTTTTTGACCTTAGATGTCAAATTCTCTTTAACATCTCTTCAGTAAGTAAACCTGTCAATCTGACAGCCACTAAAGTTGTTGTTTTAGACTACGGTGAATATTTCTAGGGGAAAGGCAATGGTTTTGCCAAAAAAAATAAAAAAATGAAAAGGTCTGCATCCATGCACCATAACCGCCATTAAGGGAATTTTCAACTTAATGCCAAAAGACAACTTTAGGTAAAACTTGGGGAAATGGCCTATCATTTTCCAAAGTTTGATTGTGAAATAAATCTAATCTCAGCTAAAAGTGTCAATTTAGTAGCAAGAAATTTAATTTTCACTTGTAACAGACCCAGTCTGTGCCATTGACTGAGTGAGGGCAGCCAGGGATCCTTCCTCACAGAGGTGCAGAGTGAGTGTAGGAGTGAGTGAAGGTGTGAGTGCAGGAGTGAGTGAAGGTGTGAGTGCAGGAGTGAGTGAAGGTGTGGGTGTAGGAGTGAGTGAAGGTGTGAGTGTAGGAGTGAGTGAAGGTGTGAGTGCAGGAGTGAGTGAAGGTGTGAGTGCAGGAGTAAGTGAAGGTGTGAGTGAAGGTGTGGGTGTAGGAGTGAGTGAAGGTGTGAGTGTAGGAGTGAGTGAAGGTGTGGGTGTAGGAGTGAGTGCAGGAAGTGAGTGTAGGTGTGAGTGAAGGAGTGGGTCAGGAAGTGAGTGAGTGAAGGTGTGGGTGCAGGAGTGAGTGAAGATGTGAGTGTAGGAGTCAGTGTAGGAGTGGGTGTAGGAGTGAGTGAAGGAGAGAGTGAAGGTGTGAGTGAAGGTGTGAGTGAAGGTGTGAGTGCAGGAGTGAGTGAAGGAGTGGGTCAGGAAGTGAGTGAAGTTGTGGGTGTAGGAGTGAGTGCAGGTGTGAGTGTAGGATTGAGTGTAGGTGTGGGTGTAGGAGAGAGTGCAGGAGAGAGTGAATGTGTGAGTGTAGGATTGAGTGTAGGTGTGGGTGTAGGAGAGAGTGCAGGTGTGAGTGTAGGATTGAGTGTAGGTGTAGCACAGAGTGCAGGTGTGAGTGTAGGATTGAGTGTAGGTGTAGCACAGAGTGCAGGAGTGAGTGAAGGTGTGAGTGTAGGATTGAGTGTAGATGTGAGTGTAGGTGTGAGTGAGTGAGTGTGTGAAGGTGTGAGTGAAGGTGTGGGTCAGGAAGTGAGTGAAGTTGTGGGTGTAGGAGTGAGTGCAGAAGTGAGTGAAGGTGTGAGTGTAGGATTGAGTGTAGGTGTGAGTGTAGGATTGAGTGTAGGTGTGGGTGTAGGAGAGAGTGAATGTGTGAGTGTAGGATTGAGTGTAGGTGTGGGTGTAGGAGAGAGTGCAGGAGTGAGTGAAGGTGTGGATGTAGGAGTCAGGAAGTGAGTGAGTGAAGGTGTGGGTCAGGAAGTGAGTGAGTGAAGGTGTGGGTGTAGGAGTGAGTGCAGTAGAGAGTGATGGTGTGAGTGTAGGAGTGAGTGCAGAAGTGAGTGAAGGTGTGAGTGAAGGAGTGGGTCAGGAAGTGAGTGAAGTTGTGGGTGTAGGAGTGAGTGCAGGTGTGAGTGTAGGATTGAGTGTAGGTGTAGCACAGAGTGCAGGAGTGAGTGAAGGTGTGAGTGTAGGATTGAGTGTAGATGTGAGTGTAGGTGTGAGTGAGTGTGTGAAGGTGTGGGTGTAGGAGTGAGTGCAGGAGAGAGTGAAGGAGTGGGTCAGGAAGTGAGTGAAGTTGTGGGTGTAGGAGTGAGTGAAGGTGTGAGTGTAGGATTGAGTGTAGGTGTAGGAGAGAGTGAAGGTGTGAGTGTAGGATTGAGTGTAGGTGTGGGTGTAGGAGAGAATGCAGGAGTGAGTGAAGGTGTGAGTGTAGGAGTGAGTGAAGGTGTAGGAGAGAGTGAAGGTGTGAGTGTAGGATTGAGTGAAGGTGTGAGTGTAGGAGTGAGTGAGTGTGTGTCTCAGGTAGTGGATGCATGGAGGAGGTGGCTAGCCCCCCCGCTCTCCCAGCCTGCACGGTGTGAGTGCAGGAGTGAGTGAAGGTGTGGATGTAGGAGTGAGTCAGGAAGTGGGTGAGTGAAGGTGTGAGTGCAGGAGTGAGTGAAGGTGTGGGTGTAGGAGTGAGTGCAGGAGAGAGTGAAGGTGTGAGTGTAGGAGTGAGTGAAGGAGTGGGTCAGGAAGTGAGTGAAGTTGTGGGTGTAGGAGTGAGTGAAGGTGTGGGTGTAGGATTGAGTGTAGGTGTAGGAGAGAGTGCAGGAGAGAGTGAAGGTGTGAGTGTAGGATTGAGTGTAGGTGTGGGTGTAGGAGAGAATGCAGGAGTGAGTGAAGGTGTGAGTGTAGGAGTGAGTGAAGGT